AAAAAGATGCAGATAGGTACCTAGTGGAATTTTCAAAAGCCCTGTCTTGTAATATTGTGTAGGATTAAAAGAAAAGGGGAAAAAATTGAATAAACTACAACCTATGAATGGGCCACCTATCCTATGCAATAGAAGCTTGTTCTCTGTCCAAGAACTACTTTTTCTACACAAAATAATGTTTTGCATACCAGTCCAAGAACTACTTTTTCTACACAAAAAGTTTTGCATACCGTGCAACTTGACACTCAAACTACGGTTAATTTATCCTTACACATAAATATCAACACACACGTGATTGAAAATGCTTTGTCTTCATAAAGCATCACTCTCTTGACCAAACTTACTTGCTACCGTTTGATTAATTAAGGTTGTATTCTGAACAAAATTTGCTTTTTATGATACTGGAGAGAGCGTCAATTTTCCAGCAAGTGGAGACGTGGACTCATTTTGGCATGCTCAAAATGATCAGTAATATCCACTATGGCTCTCAAATAGATTGATTCCCATGTGGGACTCTTACTGATTGTAGTGTTTTGTGATTATTTAAGTCAAATCACATGTTGACTGTAACTAAGGAGCCAGTTGTTTTATCTTCTCTGCCCCATACTCATCTTACTTAGAGGAGGAGTTTTGGCAGTGTCGGTTTGTCTGGTCAGGGTTACGTTTAGAACTGGTAAGCATGAGTAAGAGAGCTGACAGATTTGATGGGCCTCTGGGCAAGATTCGGGGAAAGTCAGTGGCTCTACGCTCCCAGAAGAGGCGGGACCTTGGGCGGAAGGGGCAGGGCTTTGGGCAGAAGGGGTAGGGCTGTGGGCGGCCATTCCTCTGTGCTGCTCGGTGCATGCACGATCTTCCCCCCAGCCAGCCCTGAGAGCTGCTTGGAGTCTGCAGCCTGGAGCTCCAGCAGCAATTTATAAGGCCCAGGGCTCTGGCCACTGCTATGGGAGCCCCAGGCTCTTTTAAATCACTGGGCACCGGGGCTGTTGGCCTCTTTGCCGTCCTTCATTTCCCCCACCCATCAGTGAGCCTGGCATGAGAGAGGAATTTTTAAAAATAATTTGCACAGGGAATGTCACTGTTTTCATTTTTTTCAGTCACTTATGGCTATGTCTACACTACCGGATTTTTGCGCAAAAACCCACGAAGCGTCCACACCTCAAGCGCATTTTTGTGCAAGAAAATCTAGTCAGTCGACAGAACAGAGGGCTTTTTGTGGTGTAGATATACCTCCTTCTACAAAAGTTCTTGAGCAAAAAGGGGGGTGTGGACGCTCAACGGATTTCTTGCATAAAAAGAGCCTATCAGAAAAAGCACGGGTGCTCTGATGGCCATTCTGTGAATGGCATCAGAACTTTCTTGCGCAAAAGCATCCGTGCAGTGTGGACACTGTCTTGCGCAAAAGCATTCGTGCAGTGTGGACACTGTCTTGCGCAAAAGCACATCACTTTTGCGATGTAGATGCACTTTTGAGCAAGAATTTTTTGTGGAAGATCTCTTCCGCAAAAAGCATCTTGCACAAAAACCCTGCAATGTAGACAAAGCCTTTAGGTTCATCTTTAATGAGTTTTGAGTCTGCAGAACTATATTTTCTGTTAAATTTGGAAAGCCCAAACTAGTCCATTCGTCTTGCTTTTTCTGTTATTTGGGATCCGTTTGCAAAATACATTTCCAAATCCTTATCCACCAGGGCTTCTGCAAATTCTTCTAGCCACAGGAGGTAGGTGTAGCCAGACATAATGTCTAACGAGAATACAAAAAATTTGCAAAGGAAATGTTCTCAGAATAATCAATTTTATTTTTTTGGGGGGAAAACAAATTCATTGAGGAAAATTTGCAAGATTTTCAACATTTGTTTCTATCCTAGGAGCATTTTGTAACCTGAAATGTAATAAATAATTTTTGACTGATTTGCTTATGGATTATTTCCTGAGTCGTAGTGATGTTTTGTTCATATTGGAGAGCTGACAGGTTGTGATTGTCCGTTGATTGATCTGCTCCTCTGTGATACCAATCTTCTCAGGGCTCTTGATACCTTTGGGCAGTGCTTTCTTCTAACATATGTTTTGCCTTCACTGGTGTTCTTAGTAGTTTCCCCATGTATCTGTGTCAGGATAACCTGTTTGTTATATATCAGAAGAGCTTGGGAACTCAATGATTTTTCTTTACTGTTCAGGTTCAATTTCTTTTTTCACCTTTGTTTCAACTGGTGTGATGTCAGCTGGAGGCATGTACTGCCAATTCTTCAGCACTGTAAGAAATAAAAACTCTTTCTAGGACACTGACAGATTTTTCAGGCTGCCATAAAAACTTCATAGCCATTGATGTCTGTGTGCCAGGCCAGAGGTGCCGCCATCTTTCCACCAAGCACCATGTATTTCAAAGGGATGAGTTTAAGTAGCCAAATGACAAATCTTTATATTTGGCCAGATTCTCAGTTGATGTAATTAATGTCAGTCTTCTTTTATTCCACTTGAGAATCTGGCCCTAAGTGTGGATGAAGAGAGGAAAGTTAAGGATTTTTAGTTTGTTTCCCTCCGGTTAAAAAAAGATGTGCCTTTTTTACTATTGTCTGTAGGGATAGAGCAGTATTCCTTTAAATATTTTGTGGTCCCACTGTTGTCATCTCTGTTTCAGAAACCTCCAGAATCTTGATAGTGCTGGGTTGTGTGAGTGTGAGGGAGTGACTGACTGACTGACTGAGCAGGAGAAAGCGAGATCTTACACATGATCAGAAAACATAGTTGTGACCAAGCATGTGTGTCATTCTTTTCGGTTATGAGTATGTGTGAAGCAGAAAAGACAACATGTACTCTACATTAGAGCTGAAGCAATTTTAAAAACAAAATGTGTTGTCTAGTTACATACAGAAAGTTTTTTGTTAACTTAGATCTGAAGTTTTATGAGGGAATTGACAGAAACCGTATAATGAACCTTGTAGTCCTTTTGTCTCTTTGCATGAGTCAAAGATCCCACACAGCAAATTTAAATCAAGTTTCCATAGCCCAGATGAAATTTATTTAAATGTAAGCAGAATATTTGAATCTGTGCTACTACTTTTCATATATGTGAAAGAGATGCATGACAGGTAGGGTGAATAGATCCCTTAGTGACAGGTGTCGGGGGGGAGGGGCTTATGTTTGGTTTCCCCAGCCTTGATTGTGAATTGGAAACGAATGTTGTGTCGTGTATCTGACAAAGTCCTTATTAAGCAGTTGCTTCTCAGATAGGACATATTGGTTATTAGGTTCATGGAACATCATTATGAATATCCAAATTTATCAATTAGTGAGAGGCATATGGTTGTTTGGTTGGAGTGTAGCTCAACCCACAGAACTAAATAATAACCTTAGTTTGATGCTGTATATCATCTAGTGCTTGACAGTTTGGCAACTCCTGAAATGTTAGTGAAAGGGACTGCTTGCTCTCAGTAGTTAACCTAAGGGAGTTGGCCCTGGAGGAAAGAACCTTTCATTTTCCAACAAATATGGTACGGAAGATGTCTCATGGCTCAAAATTATGCCTGTACTGATTTTCTGGGGAAAGTAGCTTCCCCTAGTATTTTTCCATTAGAAATGCATTGCTTTCATTCTCTTCCTGTGATTGATGATTTCCCACATGTGCTAGGAGGGGGAATATTTCTTCCTGTTTGTGAACTGGTTAAAAGTTACAGAATTTAAACGAGTTCCTCCTTAAGTATGGGTCTTTTCTTGCCAGTGGAGAGCAGTTGAACCTATATCAGCAGTGGGCAACATAGACTACTGTGCAGACTGCATGATTGACCCTCCTTCATCTCAGTGGGCTGCAAGACTGTCATAACTAAGACAGTCTCATGGGATTGGGTAGTTTTGCTAACTGCGCTTGTGTAACTAGAGTTTGCAGAGTGTGCCAATTGAACCATAGCAGTGCTTTGATTGAATGCAGAGGGAGCTCATGGCTCTCAATGTTGTGTGCTGTCAGTACACCTCTCACTTCACATGCCCTTGCTTTATGTGCATGTGAGTGTTGTAATATCAGTTAAAAAAAAACCCACCTGGATGGAAACCAGCAGAACCAGCAACAGTAAACAAAATGCCTCGTGAGCCACACATACAGCCCCGCTAGGCCGCATATGGCCCTCGGGCTACAGGTTGCCCACCACTGACCACTATCCTTAACTTAGATGGTCAGTCAGATACGATTATAACATTGCAAATGGCCAGAGTCAGTGAATGGTTTGTGAGTTGCCTGTGGACTGAAATTTGTTGTTCATATAAACTACTTGACAAATAACTACAAATAGTATTCACACCCTGGTCATGATTTCTGTGAATGCTTCACAAAGGAAGACCAAAATTCTCCAGATACTTTTTTAATACTAGAGTAAGCTGAATTATTTGCAAGAAACAATGTATCACTAAAGTGTATAGTATGCCAGATGGATAAAAATAACTAGGAAATTTACTCAAAGGGCACAGAATTCTGTGAGTGGCTGAATGAATCCTAGATTTCAGCAAAAATTCAAGGTGCTCAGCACCTTGCAGATTCAACCCGAAGTACCTTCTCGTGCTTCATAATAATAAAAGTTGCTAATGTGACAGAGTCTTGATGTGAATGCAGATCTGAATATTCAATGCTCCACTTCAGCTTTCAGCTCCTGTCCACTATGTATCAGGATTTAGATGTTGTTCATAAACATAGAAAGACTCATCAGTTTTGAAATAAAACATCCACATGTAAAATTATTGATTTTATGTGTTGAAGTGAAAAAAAATTCTGTAAGGGGGGAAAAAATATTGAGCAAATAATGCTATATTTAGAACAGAATTTACTTACTAATATTATAGCCGTTCCAAGAGATAAACATAAACTGGTAGAATGAACCATTAATGAAAGATAAATTGTATGACGGGAAATGACATATGTTTATAGTTTGGGCAGGATTTAAAACAGGGCATGTCTCCTTATATACAGCAACTGTTTTAACAGCTGCTTTTTTCTTCTCCTCCCCTAAATTATTTCAGGTTTTTGAGTCATGATGCAAGAATCTGGGATTGAGACAAAAAGTAACGGTTCAGCCATTCAGAATGGAGCAAGCAGTGGCAACCATTTACTAGAGTGCAGCCTACGGGAAGTGAGATCCAACGGTGAGACACCCTCAGTTGAAATTGGGGCTGCAGATTTAGCACATCTTCAGCAACAGCAGGTACCGTAAGATATGTATTACAACTTCCCTTTCTAAATAATAATAATTTTAAAAAAAGTATTTAACTCTTAAAACCATTGATATTTGCCACTCAAATAAATGCGTAGGAGGATATACATACATGGGTAGGAGATATACCCTGCAATATTTAGATGAATGCAGTCATAATGCAAAGGGAAATTTATACTTATCTTCCAGTGCCCTTTCTCATGCACTCACTGGAAAGATCCAAAGATCATTGTTTTTATTGTCTAAATGTGTAGGGGCTGTGACTGGGTGAATCACTGTATACAAATAACTAGTTTCCAAAATATGTGTCTGGTTGGAAGAATCACTAAATCTGAACTTTGTTTTTGCAATACATTTTAATATAGCCACATCCTGTATCAGCAGAGTCTTTTCTGTTAGCAAAATGTTTTGTCAAGGTACCTACCTACTGCAGTGACACTTAAAAAAATAAATACCAAATTATCGTAGCAGTCCTATTTTTACTACAAAATCATCAGGAGCAAAATTGTATATTAATGTGTGTCCTGTGTACTTTAATTAGTGCATTTTAGACAGAAACAATTGAGCTCATCGGTCTTATTGTTAGTAGGTTATTTCTTATAACAAACTACCTAGCACGTAGTATTAACATGTTTTCGGAGGAAGAGGAGCACTGCTGCCATTGGGAATGTGTTGATGCCTAAACAGTACTTGTTGTAATGCAGTAAACATTCTTTGAAAAAGGCAACTGGTGGCTCTGCAAGACACTTTTAAATGCACAGTGATCTTTTCAGCAGGTTGTGGTGAAGAAAATCCTGCAGTTGAAAACAATGGCAAAATCAAAGACTGAAAAAGTAGCAAGTAGCCAAGTTTGCCAGAGTAAGACAGAAAACTGCCAGAATTAAACAGCTTGGAGAAATGTATGATACTAAATGCAGTAGACTTTGCTTGTTTCGATCATTTTCATTCTACAGGTTTTTACTTGAAGTGAGAATGCCATCAGTGAGAAAATCACAGCCATGCTGAATTCATTACTGTAGTAGTCACACAAAACCACAGATAAAATTTCAATAACTGCAGGCCATAGTTGAGTAAACAGTTGCACTGAAACTTAATTCCTGTTGACTTTTCCCTCATTCTTCGCCAGGGGCACATTCTGATTCGTAGTGCAAAGACAACAGGGGTTACAGCTTTGATTAATGTAGGACAGTAGAAGAGAATTAGAACCGTAAAATATGTTAGAAGTTCATTCAGCACAAAGGTCTGCTCTTAAAAAGGCTTCATCTCTCAATGAATTAATTACACTGTTTTGATTTGAATGCTTTGGAATTTTTCAGTCTTCTCTTCACTCCGCCTTCTTTGTTTAGTCTCCCTTGAAAAAATAAATCCTCCAAATTTGGTAGACCAAAAATAAGAAACTTTGATGTTTCTTCCTTATCACCAAATATTAATCTGCACTGAAGCAGCCACCCTTGGGAATATGTCAGCGCCTCTCCGTAATCAACCAGAAGGATCGCTGTTGAGTGAGGTAACATCTTAATCTTGTATGTAATGTTCTGTATCAGTCAACAGCCGTCCATTTGGTCAATTAAGGAAGAGAGACAGATGCATTCCAAAAAACATTATGTGAGGTCCTCCAACCCACTCCCAAATGATGCTCAGAACAGCTGGATGTGCTTTCTTCATCTTTCTCCCAGACCCTACCAGTGACTTAGACACAGAAATTGAGCAGGGGAGAATTTCTTTACGGTGAAGTTTTGTAGATTCTCAGTTGTACTCCGTATTTACCTTTTGCCCACGTTTCTCTTGCTTCTGATTAACATGATTTCCTCTTGGTTTGCGAAGGCCTCGATGTTCTGTGTTTTTAATACTACAATTAATTTGTTTTGATGAGTCTTTTTTTTTCTATTGGGTTCTCTTTTTAAAAAGTGAATCGTTTGCTTAGTTTATAACACTTCTTTAAAAAAAGAGTGCAATATCTAAAGGGCTGTCAAAACTAGTGTAATAATGTATCAATCATTGTGTTTTGAAAATAGTTTTAAATGCCATAAAGAAAAAATGTTTTCAGGCTGCTAATGCAAGCATTTATAGATACGCATACAACACAGAGCATAATGTTTAGATGTTTCTCCATATACAACATATGCTCTCAGGTCACTTAACAGAATGCATGCTAGATAACGCTGCTTCAATACAAATGAATAGTTATTTAAATAAAGCAGCTATTTCTTAAGAGTATTTCAGTCTAAGCGTTTCTTTGTGCCACCTGGCATTTGTGTTGTCTGAAAAATAAGCAGAGTATAGATTGAGCGTGGCTTTTCTCTGGTTAACTTGTTAATTGCGTATTTCCCATGAATGGTCAAGCAAGGGATGCTGCCATTCAATGCTTTTGGATAAAGCATTTAGTTGGATTTTAGAATTTGAACTCCTTAAGTTTGTGACTTAGCAAGAACCAACATTTGTTTCTTTGAATTGTGTAAACCTTTTTTTTTTTTTTTTAAGGTTGATTCAGGAAGTTTTAACAAATATACAAATCATTCACTTTTGTAAATCTTATATAATAGAAAAACACCAAGTAATGCTGGCATTCATCATTTTGGAGGAATAACATGGATTGTGGGTACTCTGGCAATCAGCATGGTGATGAATCTAGTACAAATACTATGCTGTCTTTGTCATTTGTTTAATTCCTTTGCAGGAGAATGTGTAGAGGGAAACTAAATAGGGCCTAGAGCTAATGTTTCTTGCACCATGTTAAATCGTCCTTTGAGTAGCAAATTTGGGGCCCAATTCTGTAACACTCAAAGTGATGAGTAGTCCTCAGTTAATGTCAGTGGAGACATTTGTGGCATAAAATACTATCCAAAATAGCACTGGTGGTAGAATTAAGGTCCTTTGTGGAGAGGGCAGCAGGAAAGATAGAGAGATAGAATTAGAAAGCGGTATGGTAATGGATGAGAAGAATGAGCTCCAGGAATTGACAGAACGGGGAGCAAGAACACATTTCACAAGGTATTAATGCCTCCTGAGAGAGGCAGTGATCCTCCTCAGCTCCTATGATCACTGCAAATTGAAGATTCCCAGCATTTTTCAGAAATGGGTCTTTTCACAAACACTGGCTTTGTTGACTGTTTTCTGCCTTGAGACTTCAATTAGAGCCTTAAGGTGCCCTGGAGCATCAGACTCCTCAAGAAGAGCTGAAATAGACAAGTCAAGCAGAGCAGTGGAACAGCCCAGAGGAACTCCAGGTGCCTAACCAGACAACAGAGGTGAGACAGAACATTGTAACAAGCCAGAGAGGCTTAGACCCAGCAACTGAGAAATCTGGCAATATCTGGTTGCTCACACAAATCACTGAAACAACCCGAAGAGTTCAACAAGAATGTCTAATGACCAAGAGGTATTTTAGAGCCGTGCTCCCTGAAGGGAGCTGTGGTAGAACAGTTCTTGCCAAAGACCTGTAAGTGCAGATGCTCTTTTAGGGTACGTCTACACAGCAAAGTTATTTCAGGATACCAGAAGTAACCTGAAATAGCTACCCCGCATCTTTTGAATGTGTCTGCGATTTCAAAATATAGTGGATGCGCTATTTCGCCATCCCTGTAAGCCTCATTATACGAGGAGAAAGGGATGGCTCGGAGTAGCGCTGTATTTTGGAATTTGGTGCTGCTTAGACTGTGACGAAGCTACACAATTTGCATAGTGCGATTTGTATTTCTTATTTCAAGTTTTGGGTGTTGTGTAGACTCACCCTTAGTGTGAATGGGTGCAGCTCCAGTTACTAGGATGGCATTTCTCAGGTTTACTCTAGTAGAGAATATGACCCACTGATACTAAAGAACCAAATAACTTTCAGCACCATTTTTGTGGTTTCTTTCTGCACATTAAAGCATGTTGTTTGTTTATTAATAGAAAGATAAAAAGTACAAATGGAATTAAAAGGATGGAACATAAAGGGTGAATTCCAACAAGACCTGAAATGCTCTGTGGCAAGGTGGCAGAAATGCAAACACCTCTATAGAAGGTTCTAGTTGGATACCATAACTTCAAGTACTGCCCCAAGAGTCTTTTGTCTAATTCAAAATCCTTTTGAACTTTTAGGAGGTATGACTTTAATAGCAATTTGTTGACAGATTAGCTGCAAAGATTGCAAAGAGTTTATTTTGCAAAACTGGCAGACTCATATCAGTGTTCTCTTAAGGAAAAAAACACATTGCTGTTTTGCAATTGCTTGCATTTATTGACAACCAGTGCTGAGCAGGCAGAATTGGAATGTTTGTATAATGTAAACCTATAGCTTGCCTGATGCAGTGTAGCGTACTTTTAGGTAGCGCATAGATTACTTGATAAAAAGGGTTACAAGGTGACTGCTTTTATGTCAGAGTAGAATAGCAATATAAATGCAAGTGGTACATAGAGAAACAAGAAGGAAGTTTATATAGAAAGTTGCGCTTTATGTAAGAGAGTTTCTTTTTATCACTTTGTCTTTGAACTGGACTATACTGTAATTCTAAAGTGTCTCTTAGCTTTCTGAAGAGTTTAGCTAAATAGTATGTTTAACTTGTGTCTACAAAAATAAGGTAAGCAGCTTTTTCTTGAGCAGACTTTGACAAAATGTTATGTTTAATTTTCCCTTCATTTTCCTACTTTTATACCTTTATTTGCCTTGAAACTAATGCACATGATAAAGTAACAGACAAATTGAATCCTATTCATATGCATGAGATATACAAAACATTCACACTTTTCACATAAGATGTTTTGGGCCAAATACTAATACCTTACATACAGTGAGTAGCTCTACTCCATCAGTAGTCTAAATAACTTCAGTGGGGTTCTGGGTTGTGGGGCAAAGTGCAAGCAATGCAATGGTAGCGTATTCCAGTTTGTCTCTAAGGTTGCAATATTGGATTTTTAAAGTTTCACACTGAGGAAAAGAAGAGTCTTAAAGCATGATATGTTTCGTCAGACTCTTCCATGACACAAGAAAGAGGTAAATGTATAGTTATTAG